AGCACAAGCAGGGGGTCAGCAGAGGGAGAGGGAGAAGCAGGGTCCCCGCCGAGCAGGGAGCCCGACGCGGGGCTCAACCCCAGGACCCCGGGATCATGACCTGAGCCGAAGGCAGACGCTTAACAACTGAGCCACCCAGGTGCCCCTGCAATATACTATTATACATCATTTTTACAAAGCTCAAAACAAGTAAGTCTAAATAATATACTATATAGCAAAACATTTATTATAATAAGTTTTAAAATAAAAACAAAAAACAGACATAAAATACAGGGTAGTAATCACTTGTCTGTAGCAGGAGGCATGAGGAGGGAAAGATGGGAAGGTAAAGATAGCTGCATCTAAGGTGGGATTGGTGATATTCTCATTCTTGAGTTGGGTGGGGGGGTTCACTGGTATTGATTTTATTATTATGCTTTCTAATATGTTTCCATTATTTATATTCTTCTGTGTATCAGATATTACATTTCAAGAGATACTAAAAGCTGGGCGCCTGGGTGGTTCAGTCGTTAAGCGTCTGCCTTTGGCTCAGGTCATGATCCCAGGGTCCTGGGATCGAGTCCCACATCGGGCTCCCTCCTTGGCGGGAAGCCTGCTTCTCCCTCTCACACTCCTGCTGCTTGTGTTTCCTGCTCTCACTGTCTCTCTCTCTCTGTCAAATAAATAAATAAAATCTTAAAAAAAAAAGAGAGAGATACTAAAAGCTAAGATATAAATACAATGTGAGAAAATAGAGAAAATGGGCTTTGGCTACTCTCAAGGTACCTGATCTTAAGGGAAAAAGGATGGAGTTGGGATCATATGAATATATACTTAAGGGGAAATTTTTCTATGGCGGGGTCTGGATCTTGCTCATAGAATGATGGGCTAGACTTATTGGTTTGACCCCAGCAATTCTGCCTCCCAAGGGGTATCTGGGAATGTCCAGAGACTTTTAGATTGTCATGACTGGGGGGATGCATTCTGCTGACATCTATTGCCTAGAAGCCTGAAGCCAGCTAAGCCAGGGACCCAGTCTACCATGCACAGGACACCTCCCTCCCCAACTTAGACCTGTTCATAATGTCAATAGTACTGATGATGAAAAACCCAGAGACAGATAAAGCAAAGCAGGAGAGATTAAAAATATAGTAACAGGCACAAAGAAAAAAAAAAAAAAATCGAGGGAACAAGGTACAGAAAAGATGGGAGGAAAGCCTGGCCCAGAGGCAAACACACTGCATCTTCAGAGCCTGGAAAGCACTGAGGCACCTTCATTCTCAAGTCCATTCCTTTAAACAGAAGGTGCATGAAGTAAACCTAGCTTTAATTCTGCTGTTACTGAAAACAAACACAAAAGTTCTATTTGAAGTTTCATTGCTAATCACACTTTGTGGAACCAGGAAGGAAAAGTACAAAACAACACATGCAGGTGAGGAGAAGTTACCTCAGAGCCAGTGAAGCTTAAGCCTCAGGGCTCCTTGCTGGAACTTGGCCCTTTTGTGACCCAGGGAAGGACCTCAGCAATTTTGAAACTTATGTCTGAATAAGCATATTTCCTGAAGAAGTCACTAAACTGTATACACTTCAGGCCCCACAATATGAGGATTTACCCCTGAATGCAGCAAAGTTATTGAATTTATTAATTTGCGTAGCTACTTTCCTTGACATCCTTGAGAGATGGCACCCAAAAGCTTCAATGGCCACATACTATTCTATTTAGCTCCCGAAGATACAGTTCATGAAACCCTACCACTCTCCTTGTTCCTTATACAGTCTTCACAGGTCATTTCCCCAGTCTTTCCAGCATTACAGGCCTAGGGATACAATGAGGGCACAACAGTAAAGGAGAATAAGTAGGTGATTCAATTTCCCCTACTCTAAAAGGGGAATCATGTTAATGTGGGAAGCTGATACCTTTTGGTCTTAGTACCATGTCGGAAACAACAGCCGAGGAAAATCATGAGGAGATTTTGTGTACATAAGAATCATCTAGAAAGCCTGCTGTAAATGTGGATTCCAGGGACCAACTCTATAAGACTGACATCCTGACCCAAGGATAACAATTTAAAAACCACTTCCTTAATGCAAAGATTCTTAATCTTCCAGGTATCCCATCCCTTGAAGATCTTTCCATAGTCACATATTTAAAATTTTAATATAGGGATTGTATCAGTTTATTAAGGCTGTGGTATTAACAAAATACCATGGACTGGGTGGCATAAACAACAGAAATTTGTTTTATCATAGCTCTGGAGGCTAGAAGTCCAAGATCAAGGTGTTGGCAAGATTGGTTCTTTCTGAGGCCTCTCTCCTCAGCTTGTAGATGGCTACCTTCTTGCTGTGACTCACACATCCCTGAAGTTTGTGTTACCGAATTTCCTCTTTTTACAAGGATACCAGTCAGATTGGGTTAGGGCCCACCCTAATGGCCTCATTTTAACTTCATCATCTCTTTAAAGGTCTTATTTCCAAATACAGTCATACTTGAGGTACTGGGGGTTAGGGCTTAAACATATGAATTTTGGGCGACATTCAGTCCATAATAGAGATTGTTCTATGGGCCCGACACTTAGGATCCCTAGCTGATATATTCCTTCACAGAAATTGGAGAATGGAGATGATGTAACTGAGAGAAAAAGAAGACAGCCATATGGTGAACATCACAGTTAGTGGGGGAAAGACCATCTGCGCAGAGAGAGAGGAAAAACCACTGAATTTGGAAGGAGAAGGTCATAGATGGTCTTAGAGACTTGTGTGTATGTACGTGTGTGTATATAATATAAATACTATATATCTGTTACATATATAAAGATATATGTCTTTTAAGAACTATTGAGAAAACATAATTAAAAAGGATAGTAAAAAGGAAAGACTATGTGCTTCTGCTCCCTCTTACAAGTACTAAAATGATAGTAAAGGACATAATCCAAAAAGGACAAGACAGAACTTCAGTGGAGAAGCCAAAGAAATGTCAGTAACATTTTGGAAGTTCTATGACATATGGAAAAGTGTTGAATGGCTTTGCACACTACAAAAACTGAAATCTAAATGCTTACAAGGTGAAGGAAGCCAATAAGCAAGCTGATTCATGAAAAAGAACTTTAGAAATTCTCAGGAATTGGAAGTCTACTGTCCTTTGGAGAATAGGAATCGGATAAGGTGTCGGTGAAATCAGGAGAAATGGTCCAAAGTTTGTACAATAAACAGGCCAGAAAGTTGAGGGAAAGAGAATCAAGAAGAAAATGGAAAGAAGAAAAAACATTTAAAAAATATTTTCCAGAGCTGAAGGCCATGAGGTCTCCTGTAGAAGGCCCAATGTGGATGAAAACATATCAACTCTAAGAGAAATTTGAGAGAAAATTTAAAACACAGAGGTACTTGGGGTCAAGATTAGGGGGATATGGTGGCAAGAAACAGGTTATGTACAAAACTTTGAAATTAGAAAGGCATCAACTTCTCAATAGCTGTACTGAAAATCTCTAAACAATGGAGCAATAGCCTCAAAATTCTGAAGCAAATGATTTTCATTCCAGAATTTTATACTCATCTATCAATTATATGTGAAGTCTGAATAATATTATTTTCAAACATAAAAAACTCAAAATTTTACTTTGGATCCTTCCTCAAGAAGCTACCAGAAGGCACATTCCACTAAAAGGTCATATAAACTCATCAAGAAAACTCTACTAGTGTGAGGTAGAGAGGATGCTCAAGGATAATGGTGAAATTAAACTCTAGGATGGTAAGAGAACCAGAAAGGTTATCTTTAATTTAAAACCAAAAATTTGGAACTGATGGAAACTGAGAAGAGGAGAGGAAGTTGGGTAGAGAGTTTGGTGTTTGGTGAAAAATGAGAGCAGGTAATATAAAAAAATCTAAGCAAATAGAAAAATAGAAGGGGATAATATTTAATCCCAGAGGGGGCAAAAAAAAGAAGTGTGACCTATTTTCCTTAGTACACTAATGTGAATGGTTGTTACTTAAAAATTGTGCTAGAGCTAAATTGAGAAGACGAAGGGACAAATAAGTGGGGGCTTCTCATGTACTGCAGAGATATTTTAGCTATGGAACTGCAAGAAAAGAAAGCTAAAATCCTCATCTTCCTTAATAGAAAGTCAACAGATAATGTCTAACATCAATGGTATCAAGAAAAAACAGTATACAAATGTTATTCAGAAAAACGGAGGTAAGAATCAGAAGAGTAACAAAAGAGTTGAAATAATTTTCTCTAGGGATTAGGAACTGGCAGAGATGAAAGGATGCTGGTTTTCATCATAAATGTTTTTAAGTGACTTTAAAAAAAATGGACATTGATCATTCTGACAAACATAAAAATAAGTGTGTATCATAAAGAAAATGTATTATGTAATACATACATTTATGCCAAAAAGATACTATCATCTAAGAATTTCCGCATGTTTTAAGGTTGACTTGGGTCTGAAAAAAATGTCGCTCAACTCAACTCTGTATAAGCAGAAACTCTAAGTTCTATCTTTCTAATCACAGTCAACCTTTGCTTGAAAATGTTGGGCACTTGCCTATTTTAATATACTTTAATCCACCACTATTTAAGGAGCATCCACCTGAATTAATGATATTACTAAGAGAACATTAGCTATAGCAAGGTCACTCATCCATATTGCTTTAGGCTGGGGTTTTTGTAGAAATAATGCCTAGAGGGATTGCTGGTAAACCATGTTCCAAACCCAGGTCTCAGGGCAGTGGGTGTGGTGACAAGGGCCACCATGCAAAGAGGAATGTCAAACACACCAATCCAAAGTCTTCTGGAAATACAGAGATCAGTGGTACACTAGAAAAGTTCATTCTTGATACTTTATAAACTTCTTTTTATAAGGATTTCACTTTTTCATGAATGTTTTATTTCTTCCAATAAAATAATCACTCCGAAAATTAAAATGGCCAACAATCAAGAATTAATTCAAGTAACACCATGCCAGAAGTTCTCTCCCTCACCCCCTTTTCTTTCCCTCCTGACACACAATTTGATATTTCAATACCTCTCGATAGCCACTGCCGATTTGTTCCAAGCTGAGAGAATACACAAGATCCTTGCCTCCCACAAAGAGTCTCTCCTGATACTCATCCAGCAGCATTGCATGGAGATCAAGAAACCCAAAAGGGCTATGAAAGACTGATGTTCGATTTAGGTCCAAGAGTTCTGAAATGCAAAAGAAAATGTTCACTAAACAAAAGACAAAATACAAATACCTTTATAACACTTTTATCATGGCTCAATTAACTACAGGATTCCAATAGGTATGACAACATTCATTTTATCACAAATACAAAGCCTTTAGAATTTATTACTCAAAAGATTAAAAATATGCAGTGCATTAACAATAGTGTATTGCATATTTGAAAGATGCTAAGAGAGTAGATCTTGAAAGTTCTCATCACAAGAACAAAAATTCTATGTGATAAAATGGATGTTAACTCAATTTACTGTAGTAGTCTATTTCAAGATATGTACGTATATCATGTACATTTTTAAATTTATTCAGTGTTCCATATTGATATGTCTGTTTCTTGATAAAACTAGAAAAACTAAAAAATTGTTTAACAAGTAAAAAAGTGTAACTGGGAATAAGTTTTAATGTGCACAAACTAAAATCTTTCTAAGTTTGTGAATCTAAAAACTTCAATATGTAAGGTAAATATCCTATTTTTTTTAAAGATTTTATTTATTTGTCAGAGAGAGAGAGTGAGAGAGAGAGAGCGAGCACAAGCAGGGGGAGCGGCAGGCAGAGGAAGAGGCAGGGTCCCCGCTGAGCAAGGAGCCCGATGCGGGACTCCATCCCAGGACCCTGGGATCATGACCTGAGCCTAGAGCAGACACTCAACTAACTGAGCCATCCAGGCATCCCAATATCCTATGTTTTTAAATACAGAAAGAATTAACCTTCATGATCTTTATGTAAAGTGCTATGTGGAAAAGTCATTTTACTGTGAATTTTATATTTACTTCTCTGTGTTCAGCAAATACTCCAAATCTAGAAAAAATATTCCAGAAGTGTGTCCATTTAATTCCACATGAACACAAACTCACACACAAAAAAATGTCTCCACTTAATATTGGTTTTGAAAGTCATGTCCAAAATCAAAGCATCCATGTCTGGAAATTCTCAGGTTGTTAATACAAAGAGGTAAAGCATGGTAACATTCAGTTCAGCAGGGACAACTGATAAAGCTGGTGGGGATCTCTAAGAGATCTCAGTTGATTTTTGGTTCGTGTTTATGTATTCATGCCCACAGCAGAAATCACAAATGATTTGTTTCAACTAACATACATTTAAGCTTAGAAAGTCACAATGTGACACACCTCTCATGTGTGTGTATTTGTTTGTTTGTTTGTTGAAGGTATTGAACTGCATACGGCAGTTGAGGACTTAAGCTTGGTAAGTGATATATGAGAGCCTTTGATGATGATAATACTGCCCCTAAGACTAGACCCTGCAAGCTGAAAAAGTCCCGAAGAGGCCCCTTTGGGAAATACTGACAAGTTCGAAGAGAGCTGCATCTTCCGAAGGTCAAAGCCCAATGCATCTGACAGAGAACAGGGAACACTGGTGACCAGACACTAAATCCAGAGAGCAGGACGAAATGTGACCAATCTGTAGAGCATCGAGCTCACTCTGCTTCTGAGAACAGAGAGATGAAGGACGTTTTCTTGCTCTGTTAAAAATGTATCCGGGGCGCCTGGGTGGCTCAGTCCGTTAAGCATCTGCCTTCAGCTCAGATCATGATTTCAGGGTCCTGGGATGGAGCCCTGCGTCCATTGAACCCTGTGTCAGGCTCCCTGCTCGGCGGGGAGTCGGCTTCTCCCTCTGCCCCTCCCCCTGCTCACGGTTACTCTCTCTCTCAAATAAATGAAATCTTTAAAAAAATGTATTCATGGTCTGTATCTCTACTTTGAAACTGTAGATGTCCAAAATTCTGTGGAGTAGGGCTAAGTTTAAACCTTTAGTTTAATACACCTGAAATTAATGTAACACTGGGTGTCAACTATACTCAAAAAAATTAAAAACCCTTTAGTTTAAAATAAGAAATATTGCCAAAATCAAAGTATCTCTTATAAAGGTAAAACTAACAATACTGAGTCATTAGACTCTTCACCTAAATAAAGAAGGTGAAAACAAGTTTTGAGGGAGGGATGCAAAGAATATTAACGTGCTTTATCTGGGGAGGAGGAAAGAGGACTGATCAGGGGTTCTGAATCCTGGAAGACAAATTTTTCCCATTTAGCAATTTTGTCAAGGTAAAATCATATCACTTTTCCTTCCTTGCTAGGCATCCACAAAAGCAAGAGATGCATATTTTAGGGATTCGATACCATAACAAAAATATGGATCAACACTGTCTATTGCCATTACACCTTGTCTTTACATATGATCACTTATGGTTTTATATCAGGGCTGTTAAATGGACTCTTTTCCAGAAAATGTTCCCCAGTTATTCCAATAGGTTGCTAAAATTCTCCAAGTTCAGTGAAACCATTATCTGAAAGGATGCAACTAAAAAACACATTATCTGAAAGGATGCAACTGAAAAACACATTATCTAGAATTAACAGGTCTCTAAACCAAACACAGTAAGGTGCAGAGTTTGGGTGATTAAGTTTGCTAGAAAAGACAAAGTGATGAAAGGAATAAAATATGAAAGTATACCCTGAAGTGTTGCCACAGTGGAATGGTCTGTGCCCATATTAAAAAGTCTGAATTCGAATGAGGCACTCCAGGAATCTGTTCCATCTAGAGATCACCTTATTTCCCAATGAGGTCATTAGGACCTCATTACCCCTGTATACATTATAGAGAGATAGACATTAACAGTTACTTGTTTTTATGACTTGTCAATTTCTGTTATGCTTACTATAATTCTAATAGTCTATAGGTGGCAGTTCCTATTTCTTTGTAATAATAAAGACTGATTACTGATGCATCAAGCTTATTTTATTCTGGTGTATCGCCTTTTATTCTGACCCATGTGCCTATTTTGGTAGCCAGGTCTATCCCATGAGATCACAAAAATACACTCATGCACCTACGGAGAAAGAGTTTGGAAAATGCAAAGAGAAAAAACTGAAATGTGCGTCCAACAAATGCAAATTTTTTAAAATGTTCATTTCTTATGGCATTTACATTTATCTTTTTTCCCTCCCCACAACAGTGAACAACCACAGAGTAACCGTTTAAATTGCCACTGTCCTGGGGCACCTGGGTAACTCAGTCAGTTAAGCGCCCCACTAGGGTTTATTGAGATCAAGCCCCGCCCATGGCTCCACACTCAGTGTGGAGTCTGCTCGTCCCTCTCCCTCCCCCTCTAACCCTTCCACTGCACTCTCTCTCTCTCCCCTGTCTGTCTCTAAATTAAATAAACAAAACTTTTAAAAAAAATAAAATAAATTACCACTGTCCTTTATTTTACTGATAAACTCAGGTGCCCAGAAATTAAAATAACCACCCTACATACATAATTACAATGAAAAATCACTCAAATTGCCAAAAAAAATGAGAATTAAAGTACAACAGGTGTGTATGTCATAACAAAGAGTCCTGCAGACTGAGAATCTGAAGAGCCACACACAAGTCTTGGCTTTGCCATTAATTACCTGCATCACCTTGAACAACCATCTAGCCTCTTGGTTACACCAACTAACATTTCTGTTGATGGTTTCCGTACATGTTGATCACCATTGCACATTCAAAATTCTTGTCATTGACTAAACTGCATTTCTAAAGTGGACGTCATAAAAACATTGTAAAAAAAACATAGATATTTTAGAGTCTTTCAAAGCACAGCATAAAACCTGTGTTTTGGAAGTTTAACCAATGGAAGGACTATAATGAACAAGTGTAAATATCACATGTGCCGTATTCAAGCTTGCCTAAAGCGAAGCAGTTAAATTATTTATGACTTTTCATGTATTTAAATGATTATAGGGTCTAAGAATACTTTTTTAAGTTATAAGGAGCTTTGGATCTTATTTTATTTATGTTGCCTATTTTATTTATGCTGCCAAGGTATGTTTGGATACATTAAGTTGAATATCATAGACATGCCTTAGGAAGTAAGTCAATAAATTTCATTTATGAAGACACTTCCTAGAATAATTCCTAAAGTCACCTTACCTTTACAAACTTATAAGACCCCATGAATAGACTACAGTTTTCTTTAAACATTTTCACAAAATGAGAGATTATTGAGTTGCTTTTGCAACTTTCCACTTTGACCATCACCATACAGCACAATAGTGCCAAAAACAGATTCCTAAGAAGTCTGGGCTTGTAGCTAGATATATTATTTCACAATCATGATACTGACCAAAACGTATCAATGTGATGGTTTATATTCTTCTTGTCAATTTCCACAGGCATAAATCTGGATTGTGATCCTTAATTTTCTCAAAGACCAAAACTGTCCTTCTTAACCGTCTGTGATTCTCCAACATCCTTGACTTTAAGTCAGGAAAGGTTAAAAGTATCCATTATGAGTAAATTCTATAATAGAAACATTTTTTAAAGGCTATACCTAGTAATACTTCAATACTAACTCCAATTTCCTACTCTTATTTAACTTTCCTCTTCCCAAAAAGGATCTGAGATGACTTATACAAATACATTCAATTGAACAAATATAATGCTAGCTAGGGTTTATCAAGATGATAAAGGGAAAAATAAGGAAAATAAGACTGGAATTAATTTTATTAGCTGAAAGTCGCTCTTTAATATCCCTATGTATTGTTGAAATGAATACTAAAATTGACCCCAGACTTCCTAAAATTCAAAGTAAAAGTCACTATAACACGACAGAAAAACTGTGTCAGTTGCTTAGGAACATTGCTTGGTGTGATGGCTAATTTTATATATCAATTTGACTAGATCAGGATTGCTTAAATATTTGGCTAAATATTATTTCTGGGTGTATCTGTTAAGGTGTTTCTGGATGAGATTTGCATTTAATTGATGCGCCAACTAAAGCATCATGGGAGGGTCTGAGTAGAACAAAAAGTGGAGGAAGGAAAAACTCACTCCTTTCTTTTCCCCCCTGCCTCTCCGATTGAGCTGGTTTCAACTGCCCTCAGACTGAGACTTACATCATCATCTCCACTGGTTCTTACGCCTTCAGACTCAGACTGAACTAAACCACCAGCTTTCCTGT